ACCTAGCAAGAAATGCACAAATACACCCTGCATGCAGTTCTTACATAGGGAAATAGGCTTCAGTTTCAAGGCCGTCATGAAAGAATTCCTTTGAAAAACAAGCCAAAATTATGCAGGGATTTATTCTCTGAGGAAACAAAATGAAATCGCATTCTGCCTGGAAGTAGCACAGCATGGACTTGGAAGCAAGAACGGAGAAAGCCCAAGGAGCAGAAGGTGGAATACGTGCCCTTTCCTGATGTTGATAATAGAAGAACCACTGGGTCGCTCAGTGGTTGAGGTCTCTGGCTGTGGAGCCAGAGGTTGGGGGTTCGATTCCCCGCTGGGGAACAGGACTGGACTTCATGATCCAGAGGCTTCCTTCTTTATTATTGTTATAAAGTATAAGCAAGAATTTGGTTATTGCTGTGGTTGGTTTCCTCCAACTTTATCCTTACAAGAAACTTTTCAAGGTCTAATGTGTACAGAGGACACACCGCTGCAGTAAAATGGAAGAGGGGAAGAAGAAAAGTCTCCAGTGAACATGGGAGGAACATGTTTAAATTAGAGTACCATCACACACAAAGGAGGCCTCATCGTCATCCTCTTTCAGCCCTCGAAGCAGTCCTCACTATTTCAGTTTAACCCAGGAAGAGGCAAGATGCAATTTAACCAGGATTTGTAGCAGTGCAAAGGGGAAGCTGGCGAGCCCAACTTTTTCCCCCCCCAGGGGTGGTTAATCTACTGCAGATTTTACCCAAACTTTAACAAGAGGCATCCCAGATACTGAACCCTAGTTCCAGCTGCTTTCAGCACCTTGGAGAGCGATTTTTGAAGCTTATAGTAAAGCCTGCACGTCCACACAACCCCATATAAAGCAGGGCTCACTAACCTCCACCGTGTGGGAGGAATGAATTATATAATACGTAATCTTAGAGCTGCAGAGCTGGAAGGGACCCTATGGATCATCCAGTCCAGCCCCTGTCAAGTTAGCCCAGTGGGGAATCGAACTCCCAACCTCTACAGTGACTGACCTAAGCCACTGAGCTCTCCAGCAGTTCATGAGACTACCCATTCTTTCTTCCCCTGACAATGCTCTTAGAAAGGCTTCTAAGTTCTTCCATTTTCTATGGCTACTGGAGTGGGAAATGTAGACTGAAGCATCCACCACAACCCCAGCTTGCCAACCAGGACTGAATCATGGTTTTTCAACCCTGGTTTGTTGAGCTTCCATAAAACAAACCTTTGTTCATATAGCCCTTCCATATTACAGTTATGATCACTGACTGAAATACAGCATTTCCCAACCTGGGGTCCCCAGATGTTCTTGGACTACAACTCCCAGAAGTCTTCAACACTAGCTATGCAGGCCAGGATGTCTGGGAGTTGTAGTCCAAGAACATCTGGAGACCCAACGTTTTGGGAAACACTGCTCTCAACTAAAAGAGGCCCATTGAATCAGTGGGGATTTGGTGAGTCAACACTTATATAAGTGCCACTGACTTAATGGGCTTACTCCAGTTGCAACTTACTCTTCGATTTCAGCCACTGAATCAACAGGACTTACATAAGTGTTGACCTAAAAACTGGGCAGTTGAGTTAATGACTTTTAATTTATTTTAGTTGGGTCAATATGCAGGATGAATTCACTGTTTCCAACCCTGCTTCCACCTAAGCCACTGTCTCCTCATTTGGATCACACATGTCCTGTTTTCAGGTGAATTTTGAGGCAGTTTTATATGTTCAGGTGAGAGGCGGGCCATCTGATACATCAATCAACTGTGCATTCAGCTTTGGAAACTGATTTTGGCCAATTTATTAAGAAGGATTTAAGTCCACTTGATTTTTGTCTCCAAGGAAGTGAGAATTTCTCTTTCCCTGCCAACCATCCCATCAGCCACACACACATTTCCATCTTAAAATGTTGTCACTATCATTTAAGTGCTCATTCATGCCCAGTAAAATTATAAAATCAAGATAAATAGCTTCAAAATGGAGGTGACAATATTAAACAATTGCAGCAATAAGCAATTCAGAAAGAGTTGACGAGGGAAATCAGCAGTCTTGAAAACGATTGTGCTATAATCACAACGGGAGGATGTTGTTTAAAAGGTCTTTGGATATGAAATGTTGTTTGCCTGGCACAGAAAAAGTTATCTGCTAAAATAAATATGTGCTGGGTGTTTCGAAAGACCCAGCAGATATTTATGTTAGTGGATATTTTGAAGAAGTTTCCGAGAGAGAGAGAGAGAGAGAGAGAGAGAGAGAGAGAGAGAGAGCACACATACACAATTGGAAACTCCTTCAGATTAGATCATACAAGCTCATTGTTTTTCCCTCCTCCAAGTGGGAAGCCAGTCACGACTCTCAGCTGCAGCTAAGTCCTTTCAAATGCCTAAGATTTTACTCATGAGTAGACACGCCAGGCCTGTACTGGGAGGTGTTCCTATTAACATGGCTGGAAGTTGCAAAACAAAGGGGGAAACACCACATCCTGTGGTGTCATGATTACAGAGACCCGAGTTCAAATCCCAGCTCAGTCGTGAAGCTCATTGGGTGGCCTTGGGCCTATCAGTGTCTCTCGGCCGGACCGACTTCACAGGGCATTGTGGGTGTGAAGGGGGAAACAACCTTCAGCTCATGAAGGGAACTATTGGACAGAAATGCAACAAATATGCATGTCCTTTGAATTACCACGAGTCTACTCTATTTAATACAAAAATGGAGTCTGTCTCCTGAAGGGCCTACCCAGGATTTCCACCATAAACAGAACGGGGTAAATAACGTTTCAGATCACTGCTCAACACATACGCATGCTTTGCTTCCCAAAATAAAGAGTAATAACGCTTCGCTTATTGAACAGAGTCGTTTCTGACCAGAGATCCAAATTGCTTAAGGATATTTGATCTTTTTTAAGCAAGAAAGCAGGGATCAACAGTCCAGAAAAGCCCGATGGAATTAATCCAGAAAAGGAATTATTAAACTGAAGCAACTCCATCTTTAACCCTGGTGCGTTTTGTTAGTCCAAAACCCAAATGCAGGCAACGGAGGTGACTTTACAAGTTATTAAGGACTATTATTAGCAGGTTATTAAGCTATTGTCCTATCATTAGGGTATTCTTAGTCTACTAGCATCTTGGTATAGTTGTTATTATAAGTTATTGCCATTTTTATTGATTTCTTTGCTGTCGTTTGGCTATTTATTCTCTTGGCTACAACTATTAGTTTTATTAGATAATATTACTGACGTGTTAGAGAATTGGTGTGCGATAGTAGACAGATGGCCAAATTAAGATGCACACAGCACTGTTTTCAAATAGCGCTGTTAATTGGCACTGTTTTGAGTTGGAGGGTTCTGAGTTCAAATCCTGTTTCGAACTTGGGCAATGACGGGAAAACAAAAAAAAAAGATGAGGTGGCTGCCTGGTCTTCAGGAATTGTGTAGAAGAGGGAGTTTAAGCAGGTGTGACTGGCATGGCAGGCTACACCTGGTGAAACTGCATCTTCCATACACCTCTTAAAGGCAGAGGAGCCATGCATAAGTTTTTTTTTTCAGGTGGCCACTCAATCTCGTGTGAAAAATTCATTGCAAGCAAGTTGTGGCTGGGCAAAAAAAAGATATACTCCCTCAAAAAAATTTTTGGACAATGTGGTGTTCTGGGCCTCCATTTCCTGTTAGAAGGTGCAAATTGCCCTAGGGGGGAATCTGCTGTCTGTTCACACAGAAACATTTACACACACACACCAGCAAACCAAAGAATACATGGAATACAAGAAATGCTCATAAGCTAGGAGGGGAGCCTCCACCCCTGCAAGCAGACTTACTCATGAGTAAACCAGCACTGAAAGGAGGGGCTGCAGCCAGAGAGCAAAACCTGTTTCCTCTTAGCTCACATACTATCCAGGGAGGAGGGGGAGCACTCTATCTATGCCCAGAGGTTATAAGATGTTTCCCTGGAGTGTCAGCAAGGGGGGGGGAGATAATCCAGGGCTGTAAGAAACCTGGATCCTAGCTCTGTGGGCTGCTTTGCCGGAAGGAGGAAACTCCGGTGCTTTTAATCCACACAGCCTGAAGCCCCACTAGCCTGTAACTTCAAATTTCTGCTCAGAGACTGGAAAGGCAGGGAAAACAGGTATCATCAGAACTGGCGTTCAGGAGCCTTCTTCTAGTTTTTTTGGGTGGCCACCCCAAGACCAAGGAGTTCACCTCACCCCCTGAGGATCAGGTTCTCAAGTGAAGCTGAGGACACACAACCAAGCCAAGGTGACACAACCGGCTTAGTGATCCAGACTTGAACACGGGTCTCCTTAAATCCACGCTCTAGCACTGTAACCACTATACACAGCCTTCTTCCCCCAGCTGTCTAAGTAGGTCACTGTGAGCTGGGCTGTGGTGGGAGAGAGAGTTGTCTTGCCCTGGGCTCACCCGTGCAACTTGACCTGATGTTGCCACGTGCCCTTGGATCACTTCTGATGGATGGGGACCCTGACAAGTTTTTTGGGGTCTGTGAGATATTAAGGGAGTGATTCACTGTGGCCACTATCACCAGCCTAGTAAGGATCCATGGCCAAGGTGACATTCGAACACAGGTCTTCTGAATCCTAATCCAACACTCCTCCCACTACACCACACTGCCTCCAGGTAGCCTAAATTATGTTTCAAAAGGAATATACAGTGGAGTCCAATCCTAAGTAGACACAATCCCATAGCAGGAAGGGTTTCTCTGGCTCAGATTCCAGGCCAGGATGCTTGGCCTGGCAAAAAGAGGATTTCTGCCTGTATCCTTCCCTTGGAAAAGCTATACCTGCTGAACTTCCGTCCCTCTCTTAAAGGCACAGGAACCTAATCCTATTTTTGGAGGGACCACTTTAATCCCAGCCTTTTTTCAATCTCCCCAAACTCAAGGTGCCCTAAGAAAAGACCCCTTTAAAAACAAACGAACAGACCATCTTAAAGTGTTCCTTTTCCTCCCCCCCCCCAAAAAAAAAACAACACACACATTTGCTGGGGTTTTTCTTACCTGGTCCAGGTGCGCTGGTGAGTGCAGAAAAACAGCAAGGAGGACCAGATCCAAGCGAGCGCTTCCATGTTTTGGAGACACGGGGGGAAAGAGAAGATGGAACGAAGCTCTCTGTCCCCCCCCTTCCCTCCCCTCCCGCTCCCAGATCCGCGCAGTTCACACGTGCTCAAACCCGAGTCGGGGCTCCCTGAAGCTTTGGCGCCGGAGCGGACGAACGCGTAAAGAAGCCATGCTCAAGAACGGCAAAAAATATAAATAATAATAATTAAAAAGCAACCAGGAACCAGGTAAACAAAGATCAACAAATTACAAAAAAAAATTAAACACAGCTAGATAAATAAATAAAGCAACAAATAAAATGAAAATGTAATATAAATCATTAAGTTGGTTCTCCTCTTTTCGGCTGAGGGAGGACTCCTTGCCAAGCGACGTGGCTGGGATGTCCCGTTTGGAAGCTTGGCGCTGAAGCGGAGCGGACGCCTCGCGCCGTTTCCACGGGCTCCGGGATCGCTCCGGCGCGGCTCCGCTTCGCTGGGTCGGCTCCCCGTGGAAAAGCAAAGGGCGCCCAGCGCTCTCTCTCTCTCTCTCTCTCACACACACACACACACACACACAAACACAAGAGGACCTCCGGACCCCCAAATCCTTAGCCGGATCTGCCCGCACCCACCCACCCTCTTCAGATCTCGCCCCTCTCAAGCAAGGCGGTCCTGGAGCGATTAAAGAAATAACAATAATTTTAAAAATAAGAGCAAGAAGAGAAAGTCGATCCGTGCAAAGCGAGCTGGTGGCCGAAAATAAACCCTGCTGGGGAGTTTGGGGGGGGGGGCTAGAGAGAGAATTATAGCTCTCGAGCAAAAGCCCGCAGCAGCTGGAAGGAGGAGGAAGAGGAGGCGGCGCGTTTACACGTGGGCTCCTTGCGATTCCGGATTGTTCAACTGTATTCTTTCAAAGGGATGGGGAGATCGACAGGCACCCAAGCGCAGCCAGAAAGGGATGGGAAGGGGAGGAGAGGACGGCGATTCTGCAACGAGAGAAAGTCTTTAGGGGGGGAAAAAAATGAAAGGAAGGAAAGTGAGCGAGCGAGCGAGCGAGAGAAGCACCAGCCCTTGCGTGTTCGCTGGGCCTCTCCGGGAAAACAAGCTGTCAGTTTGCAAGCGCGGTGGGTGGGTGTGAGAAGCACGCCGTTCTCCCCCGCGCCTTTCAGCTTCAAGTTGAAAGGCGGGGGTTGGGAAAGGGAAAGGAGAGGGGGGGGGAAGGACGCAGGATCGGCTCCCAACCCCGAGTCTGAAACATGAGAGACATTAAAACACACCAAACTTTTCCCTTGGCTCTTAAGCTGGGAGGAAGAGGAGTGGATCCGCGCTGGGTTTCGGCCTGAACTTTGGGAAGGCGCCGGCTCAGCGGATGGCCCTGTTCGGACTCTTATGAGTTCAGGACCACGGAGAGCTCCCTTAAAGTGCGCGGGATGGGGGGGGGAATGGGTGTCCCGTCCCCTGTTCTCCAGACAGCACACCTCTGACTGGTGGTCTTTTTCCGAGCGGGGTGTTCGGACAGAAACCCGAAACTCTATCCGGAAGGATCAGGAAGGCTCCAAACTGCAGCAGCCTTTGGTAAGTGAAGCCATCTGCCTGATTGTCTATCCACAGCCAAACATTTCCTAAATGCACCACGGAAGTTATTAGACAAAACCCTTGTTTCCCCCGCTTTGGGTCCCCAGATGTTCTTGGACTGCAACTCCCAGAAATCCTGGCCAGCCCAACTGGTGGGGGAGGCTTCTGGGAGCTGCAGTCCAAGAACACCTGGAGACTTAAGGTGGGGACCCACTGGACTAAACTGTCTTTTCTCCTTGCTCAAGTCCAGGGGGTGAGACTGTAGGCTTGGCCTGATGGAGAGGTAAGTTCAAGTCTTCACCGTGTCTTGAAATCTAGTAGTCTTGAATGGGCAACTAAGAGCCATTAAGTTTGCAAAAGGTCAGACCATCTTCTCATTTGTTGATAGGGTCCAATCCAGCTTGAACTTTATTTAGGAAGGATGGCTGGCTATAGGGACCGTCTAGATGAGTGCAGCCCCTTCCCCATTTACTACCAGAAACGGAGAGATCAGAGAAATCTACTGTTCTGTCCTTTAAGATAGGCCAGGGGAGTTTCCACACTGGAAAAGACAGTAAGGATAGGAAAAGCTGAAGGCAACAGGAGGAGATGAAGACCAAGTGTGAGATGGGTTGAATCCTTAAAGGAAGCCACAATCCTGAGTTTAAAAGGTCTAAGCAGGATCTTGGGGTCCAAAAAAACCCCTGAAGGGCATAACCCTAAGTCTGTGCTTCTACAAGGTGCTAAACCTTTTTTGGAGATTCCTTCAATAATAATGTGTGTGCTGTCAAGTCAGTTCTGATTTACGGAAACCCTTTACAGAGTTCTAAGTAGAGAGTATTCAGAGAACTGCTAAACCCTTTACAGGGTTTTCTAAGTAGAGAGTATTCAGAGAACTGCTGGTTGGCTCGGTGGTTTAGGCCAGTGGTTCTTAACCTTGGGTTACTCAGGTGTTTTTGGACTACAACTCCCAGAAGGCTTCACCACCAGCTGTGCTGGCTGAGGTTTCTGGGAGTTGAAGTTCAAAAACACCTGAATAACCCAAGGTTAAGAACCACTGGTTTTAGGCATCTGCCTGCAGAGCTGGAGGTGGGGGAGTTCGATTCCCACACTGAGCCTCCTTGACTGGGGCTGGACTGGATGATCCAGAGGTTCCCCTTCCAGCTCTTCAGCTGCAAGTAGTTCACCATTCCCTTTTCCTGGGGCTGTGCAGCCTGCCCAAGGCTACACAGGCTGGCTCTCCTGGGATGCACAGTGGACATTGAACCCTCAGCCTCTGGTTCCTCAGCCAGAGACCAAACGTGAAACACAGAGTTGACCCCAAAATGGATTTCCAGTGCACCCTGAAGCTGAAGCCAGCAGCCATTGGGGGGGGGGTTGTAGCCCCACACATCTTAGACATGGTCTCTTAGAAAGAGCTCTGTCACAGGGCATCGGTTCTCCCTCCTGTAGTTTGCAAAAGTATCTATTTATACCCTTAGAACTGCAGATCTGGAAGGGACCTGGTGGATCATCTAGTCCAGCCCCTCTCAAGGAGACCCGGGGGTGGGGGAATTGAACCCCCAACCTCCTGTTCTGCAGCCAGAGACATCCACCACTGAACTATCCAGTAGTTCAGTTCTTTCAGCTTGGAGAGGGTTTTTTTTTTTTTTGGTCCCTCTTAAAAATTAGGGTAAAAATATTTGTAGAAATACCGCTCGTTAGGCAGAGCACGACATCGCTTTTTCTTTGAGTGCCTTTTTCTAAGAAAATGAAAGCAACAGAAAAGGAGAGGAGAGAGACACAGGGGAGCCCCCTGCTTCATTCCCCCCCTTTCAATTCATGCTTATTTTTAGTGTTCCTTTTTTATTTTTATTTTTTTTAAGCATGAGTGTTTTAAATAGATGGGGAGGGGGAGAGAGAGAGAGAGAGAGAGAGAAGATGAAGCCAATCCTGGCAGAAGCCTTCGGTGGGATAATCTCTAAAAGACTAGTCTCAGAGATGTAAATCTGTTCTTTAATCTGGAGAAAGATATGTTAACCCACCCAGGGCAATCCCTTGCTTTTGTAAATCCAAGGCCACAACACCAGCTCAGCCGGGCAAATTCTTAACCCGCGCAACAAACCCCCCCGAAATAGCTACTGGCTACCTTCTAGAGTCTGGAGCCATCCTTTGCGCTTCAGACATCAACGTCACATCATCTCCCCCTCCCATCTCTATGACTGATTGCTATTTCTTGAAAGGGCTTGTCTACCAACGAAGTGATGATCGTTGGAACAGAGAGCCTGTGTTCTTACAGCAGTGTTTCTGAATCTGGGGATTGAGACCTCCAAGGAGATTGCAAAGTGCTTCCAGGGGAGTTGTAGGTATTGTTGTTTAGTCGTTCAGTTGTGTCCAGCTCTTTGTGACCCCATGGACCAGAGCATGCCAGGCCCTCCTGTCTTCTGCTGCCTCCTGGAGTTGGGTCAAATTCATGTTGGTCGCTTCGATGACCCTGTCCAACCATCTCATCCTCTGTCGTCCCCTTCTCCTCTTGCCCTCACACTTTCCCAACATCAGGTTCTTTTCCGGGGAGTCTTCTCTTCTCATGTAGGTATTGTAGCTCTGGTTAAATCATGCCTTCCTTCCCCTTTGGAGGTCAAATATTAAACTTAGCATGTGTATGTATTAAAATCAGGCCATCTGGAGGAGAAAGAAGTCTCTGCTTTCTGAAAAGGGATGACTTGGCCCCCTTCAAAATGCCTTTTTAATACAAGGGGTGGCCGGGACTAAAAAAAAAAAAGTTTGGGAGCCACTATCTTAGAGGATGCGTGTATATATTCCATAAGCTCACAACAGGCACTACGCTGGGAAAAATTACAGATCCTTGGGCAAGGTGCAAAACTTTTTAAAGTTGGAGTCACATCTGGTGTCAAATGGGGACACACAACAAAGAGAAAGCTTGCTCTCTCTCTCTCTCTCTCTCTCTGTGTGTGTGTGTGTGTGTGTGTGTGTGTGTGTGTGTGTGTGTGAAAAAAGGAAAAAAAAGGAAAGACAGCCAGTGGGTGCATGCACTTGAGCCCATCATACGGCAGCAGGAAATGTCAAATGTCATGACTCTAAGCCAACCTTGGGTCCTCCAGATGTTCTTGGACTACATCTCCCAGAAACCTTCACCATGAGCTGGGCTGGCCCGGATTTCTGGGAGTTTTAGTCCAAGAACATCTGGGAACCCAAGGTTGAGAAGCACTGGTCTACATCAATGGTTCCCAACGTTAAGTCTCCAGATGTTCTTGGACTAAAACTCCCAGAAGCCTTCACCCCTAGTAGTGCTGACCAGGATTTCTGGGAGCTGTAGCCCAAGAACATCTGGACAATATCAAAGTTGGAAACCACTACTCTAAATCATAAAGATGCAGCCATTGTAAGTCTACACAATTGGTATTTACTTACCTTGTGCTCTTTGCACAGTTTTGTTTAATTTGCTCACCCCATCATTCTTGAGAAGGGCCATCACATTTCCTGCTCTTTGACAAGGCGGAGAGATAGATTTTTCAATACCTTGCAGGTGAGGATGACACAAAGGTAGATGCTTTCTCCCCCCCCCACACACACACCTCAAGGAAAGTTGCATTTGCAGAGAGTTCCGTGTGTGATGTTGGAGAATTCAAAACAGATGGGAGCAGGCTGGGTGGGAAGATAAATCCATAAGATGGATA